TACCACTGAGCCACGTCACCAGCCCTTTTTTATACTTTTATTTAGAGATAGGGTCTCACTGGGTTGCTTGGGGCCTTGCTAAGTTGCTGAGGCTGACTTCAAACCTGCAATTCTTCTGCATCAGTCTTCCAAGTATCAGGGGTCACAGGCGTGCCCCACTGCACCTGGTGGCCTCTAGCTACTTATGGAACTTAGGGTTTCAGTCCAGAACACTGGTGAAAAGTCCCTTCCCACTGTGCTGTTTCTAGAACTGTAAAACAGAGGATTGGACTAGACTATCCCTAAAACGTTTCTAACACTGTCAAGCGATGATTCGCTGCAACCATCTTATTTATAGCCTCTTCTACTAAGTGCTGTGACCACACATTCACCCACGGGTGCCTCACAGATGCCTGTCACTGCACCTGTACATCGTCAGTGCCTGCTGCAGTTTTTGATCTGGACTGTCCCCTACGGACTTGTGTGTTAAAGGCCTGGTCCCCACTATGACCCTACAGGGAGGCGGTGGAAGCCTTAGGAGGTGGGTCTTATTCGGGAGGCCTTCAGGTCATTGGGGACATGCCCTTGGTGGGGACAGTGGGATCCCAGCTACTTCCTCTATTTTTTTTCCCCCTCATTTGCTTCCTGGCCACAAGGCAAGTGACTCTGCTTTCCCATGGGCTCCTGCCAGGTTGTTCGGCCTCACCCCAAGCTGGCAGCAGAGTGCCAAGGATCAGGAACAGAAACCTCCAAACCGCAGATCAAAACAGACCTTTTCTTTTCGATATTTATTTGTTTGTTTGTTTATTTATTGGTGGACACAACATCTTTGTTTGTATGTGGTGCTGAGGATCGAACCCGGGCCGCACGCATGCCAGGCGAGCGCGCTACCACTTGAGCCACATCCCCAGCCCCCCAAACAGACCTTTTCTCTAACTTGGTTATTTCAGGCTGTCGATGCCATGGTGGGCGGTGAGTGCGGTGACCAACCTGTTGACTGAGTGATACCCAGGAAGCCCCTCCCTCGGCCTCCCTAGCCACCTTCATATGAGGTGTTTGGGGACAGGATGCCAACCCCATTCTCATTCACCACCTCCCTACTGTCCTGGCCCATCCTGCAGTCTAAGGTGACCATGACCAAGAGAGTACTGCCCATCGCAAAGAGGGTGGGTCCTATGGGGACCCCTCAGCTCGGAGTTCAGTTGTCATCTTGGATGTTACTTCTAGGTTTTCTCCTAAGGGTTTTGTAATTCATTTTTTTCACATTTGTGAACTCATTGCCCTGGATGGTGTGAGGCTGGGATCGGACCTTATTTATTTTTCCCATTTGGCTTGTCTGAGGCCCAAACACTGAGGAGCACGTGTGCTTCCTCTGGCTCTGGCCACGCTCCTGTCACGCAGGGTCTGTTCCTTGGCACCCTGCTGCGTTCTGTTCGACTTCCTAACTTACTTCTCCTGAGTGATCTTCTTTCAGGGCACCGAGTTACCTTTGTGTGTGCTGATAGGACCCAGGATTTCTCTTGCAGTCCAGTTTTTCCAAATTGTCTTAGTTATCCTGGGTATTTTACTCTTGTGATTCCAGAATGAACTTGTCTAGTTGTTTTAAAGTGGTTAGCTCCCCTAAGCCTCCATTTCCTTTCCCATGACCTACACCTCCCACGATGACCAAGACTCCGTGAACGCAAGGCCTGGGACTAAGCCCTGGAGCAGTGTGAGCACTCTGTAGAGAGTGGTATCATTGTCCCCAAATGCCCGAGTCAGTGCAGTCACCACTGCTTTAAAGCCTCGTTGGCTTCCCAGTCATGCGGAGTAAAGTTCAAACGCGGCCAGCCAAGCCACTGACCCCAGCCTACCTTTCCCACGGCATCGCCCGGCCCTCTCTCCTCCCAGCCCACTATGACCATCAAGTTCCAGATACCTGCCCTTCCCCAGGGGTCCCTTCAGCTGGGGATCCCCTCATCCATCCCAAATCCTCTCAGATGATGCCTCTTCTTTTGGGAAGGGGGAAGGGGTCGGTCACCCCCTCGGTCTTCTTTTCTTGCATGTGACTGTGTCGCTGTGACTCTATTTATATAGTAAACTCAGCACGCACAGCCCTGGGCATTTCCCAAGCAGGTGCAGCACATAGTGATCACACCCCAACTTTGGTGCCATATACTCCTTCACTTATTATTAAACACAGCAGTCATGGATGGCAACATGTCAAGATCACGGAGCCTGTCAGCAGTGGAGCTGGGACCCGCACCTGGCTGAACTCCAGCGCCCACACCTGTCACACTAGGCAGCCTTCCCATGAATGTGTCCCTCCCCCTTTTCTGATCTGCTCTCTGCCCATTCCTCCATTATCATCTCAACTGGGCTCTGCAACATCAGCACCCCACCCCCACCCCACCCCCGCCTCCTGCAGCTTATTCTACCCAGGCTGTCACCTCTCCCGTTTCACGCCATCTGTCATCCAAGCAGGTGCCTCTGCGAGGACTGTGTGTCCTGGTTTTAGCACATTGCTGGTATTCAGGACACAGAACATGAGGCCTCATGGCTTCACCTTCGGATGCTGAGATGTTAGCTGGGTGTCACAAGACCAAGGAGAGAAAACAAGCCCTTCACACCCTAAATATGCCTGAAACCAGGAAGCAACCAAGGCCCTGGCTTCCACCGCAGGCTTCAGGTCTGTGCGGAGGGGAGTCAGCCTGAGTGGAGGATGGGCAGGAGTTCTGCCAAATCTGCCTGGGTGGTCAGAGCACCAGCATGACAGCGAAGGCCACAGGAACGCATTGCCTGTCCCTATGGTCAGAGCTGCACTGGTGTCCTTCAAGACCATTTCCTCTCCTCACTCTTGCCCCAAGTTTTTTTGGGGCCACTTTTATGTTTCTCTCTTTAGCCACAAAGTCCTGCAGGCCACAGAATGAGGACTCCACACTCTGCCTTTACCCTGAGAATGGAATGAAAATCAGTTGACATGCAGTAGATGTGACATTGATGAGCCACACACCTGTACAGCGGTCCACGAGGATGTGACATGGGTAAGTGGGGTGTTTCCAGAACACCCCATCTGATTGGAAGTGGCCCTCTGTCAGCACCTACGGTCCCATGCTCACAGACTCAGGCACAAGGAAGACTCCTTTAACCAGAGCAGGGGGGGTGATCATCATGACATGGACAAAGGCAGCCTGCACAGTCAGGATTTACGGGGAGAGGTGCTCCGATGGGCAGAAGCCATCTGTCCCATGTGGAATGAAGTGGAATAAGTTCACCAATTTTCTGTTTTTGGCTATTCACAGACTGTCACTCACCAGCCATTCAACTCGGTTTGACATTTATCACCACAGAGACACTCTGACTTCATCTGGGCCCACACATGAGCCTCTGGGTTAGGTTTGTGTGGCTCTTGTCCTGGATGTGGCCCCCTTCCACTGACCACTCGGCTTTCTTGGCTTATGAACGCTGACCAGTGGTGACCCCAGTTTTGCCTTGAGAAGCCAGCCCGTGCCAGGGGGCACGTGGTGACCTGATGGTGATGAGCTGTTGATTCTTTTCCTCCCCCTCTTCTCCCCAGGTTCCCTCTTTCAGACTGTATCACCTCTTGCACGGTAGGTCACAGTGGCTTCCAGGAGGCCTCTCAAAACCCTCCTGCCGACACTTCCTCAGGGAGCAGCCTGAGGCTGTGAGACTGCCTTGTTCAGGAATATGTCATGTGCATGAAGTCAAATTTGTCCCTGGTTTTTATGGTGTGATTATCTATCAGTCATTTGGGGGGTAGCGCTGAGGCTTGAACCCAGGGCCTTGTACACTAAGAGCAAGAGCTGTACCACTGAGCTACAGCCCCAACTTTTTTTTTTTCAAGATATTTTTTAGTTGTCAATGGATCTTTTATTTATTTTATTTATTTGTGGTGCTGAGGATCGAACCCAGGGCCTCACACATGCCAGGCAAGTGCTCTATCCCTGAGCCACAGCTCCAGCCCCCCAATTCTTATTAAAAAATTTCTTTTGCTTTAAATATATCTTTTTAGTTGGACGTGGACACAATGCCTTTATTTTCATGTGGGACTGAGGATTGAACCCAGGGCCTCACATGTACCAGGCAAGCACTCTACCACTGAGCCACACCCCCAGCCCCCCCCCCCTTTAAAAACATTTTTAAGTTGTAGATGGACACAATATCTTTTATTTATTTTTATGTGGTGCTGAGGATGGAACACAGTACCTCACATGTGAAAAACAAGGCCCTACCACTGAGCCCCAACCCCAGCCCCAACCCCTCTTTATTGAGACAGGGTTTTGCTAAGATGCTGAGATTGGCCTCAAACTTGGCCTCAGCCTCCTGAGTGGCTGGGATTACAGGCATAAGCCACTGTGCCCATCTGTACTATTGACCCCATTGTACTATTTTTCATTATACTTCAAAGTGGTTTTCTTCCTGTCTGGGGCTCAGAGGGACAGCTCACTTACTCGCTCACAATATCGTCTGCCTGTGTCCTCTGCCTACAAGCCTTACCTGCTGTGTATCTTCAAAAAGTGGTACTTGTTAGCCAGGTGCAGTGGTGCACGCCTGTAATCCCATCAGTTAGGGAGGCTGAGACAAGAGGATCACAAGTTCAAAGCCAGCCTCAGCAACTTAGAGAGGCCCTAAGCAACTCAGTGAGACCCTGTCTCTAAAAGAAATATAAAAAAGGGCTGGGGATGTGGCTCAGTGGCAAAGCACCCCGGATTCAATCCCCACTAACAAAAGGTGGGGGCACTTGTCCTTTACTCCACCCCTACACAGGAAAGCTGCTTCTTGCTGTCTCCCTCATCCAGGATGAAGCCTAGCTCTTTCCACTTCCTGCTGACAGGCCCTCCCCAGCCCCAGGCAGCAGTGCTGGCTGACGCTGGCTTGTCCACTGTGTTCTTCAGTTTTCCACAGCTACCCTTGACCTCTGGGGCAATTGTCAAGAACCCCAGAGAAGCAGGGGGTGACATTTAAAGACTGATATGAAGGACTCGTGGTAAATCCTTTAGAGAAGAGACCGGATGCTAACAGAGTGTGAAATACTGGCTTTTATTGGTTGGCACAGGATTACAGCCCATGTCCCATGCCCGCCCTCCCCCATGGCTCACATGGAAGGAACCGGTGGACACAGGGAAGGGCGGCACTCACAGGCTCCAGCGTTTGTTTTTACAAAAAGGAGTGGGATTCGGAGTGGAGGGTGCGGGGAGTACCAGAGCTCTCCCTAGACTTCAGGGGAGGCTTGGTCCCTGTTGCAGGTGCCACATAGGGAGGTATGTTAGTGAAGCAGGGGAGGGCCACACACAGCTGTCCTGCTATGGGGGAGGGGGATGGCATCTGCCACGCACCTGTCTAGGGCTATTTCGGGGTCCGGCCAGCGTCCCTTTCTTCTCTGCTCCCCTCTCCTCCACAGTGACAGCGCGGCTGGCTGCACTGTGGGGGAGGAGACAGGAGGGAAGTGAACAGGAAACTTCACCGTCTCGAGGCCAGTTTCCATCCCCCCAGAGAGCACTGCTGTCCTCAGGAGCGCTGGGCAGACACTGTGGAGGAGGCCAGGCCTGTGGTGGCCATGTGCAGGTGGGAAAGTGCTCTCCATGCAGTGCCAAGCAAGGTTGTTTGGGGGACAGGAAGGAGGAAAAAAAAGAAAAAAACCCACAGGCCGGGCAGCTCATCAGTCCCAAAATGCATCTGGATCAGGGCAAGGGCAGCAGCACCCCAAACCCCCATTTCATCTCTCGCACCAGGTGCCGAGGTTCAGTGGCCACACTACCCTGTCCTTCCCTGAACTGGCTGCTCCTTGGACTCCCCAGTCCTGTTCCACTCCTCTAGGGTCATTCCTGCCCCCAGGACTCAGCCTGCTGGTCGTTCCACTTTCTACAACCATGAAACAGCCTGAGCGGGTGGCCCCTGGCGCTGCGTCTCAGTCCCAGAGACACTGGTGGACTTGGCCGTTTATACCTCAACCAAAATGCCTGAGCACCAGGGAAAGGGACAAGACAGACTTGTGTCTTTTGTGAAAAGTTGAACTCAATATATCTCAGCATCTCTGCCTCGATCCCATGGGTTCCGGGGAGAGGAGGCCACATCTGGACAGCAAGCCTGCGAGGCGGGAAGCGCATCTAGTGCTTCAATGGAATGGTCCCGGACCCTGACCTTTCTGATGCTGAGTGAGGTGCTTGTGGTGAGGAAACCCCTTAGGAGAACCTCTGACCCCACAGCTGTGGTCACACAGAGCTGGGGCCTTGTCGCTCAAAGCCTGTCCCTTACCAAAGTCATGGGACAGGATGGAAGGCAAGGTCCTTGAAATAAAAGCTAGGCTGGCAAAAGCAGGTATAAAGATGCCACTCCCAAGCTTCCACTTCACTCTCTCGGACAGGATAAGTGACACTTACTCATTTTACAATAGTCCCCCAACATCCCCAAACGTGCTGGCACATGGCCAACCAGCAGACATCTTTCTTGAAGTGCACAAACTGAAATTTTACTTATTTTAACTACCAATCTTTTCTTTGATTACAAACCAGCTTGAAATTTTTCAGACATAAAACAGTGAAACAACAGAACAGATTTGGCATTTATAAAACCGTTCCACATATTTCTTTTATGGTAGAGTGATATTTTATGATAGATATTTTATGATAATTTCCGAACTACCGAAGCCAAGCTAAGCCACGCCTCTTGCACCTGCACCTTGAGCCACACATCCAGTCTGTTCAGAGGTGGAAGGCTGAGGCTACGTGAAACAGTGGCGGCAAGTCACATTTCTGAAGGGAGAGTCCCTTTGGAAAACTCTTGAGCAAAAATGCTCCTAGCCACAAGAGAGGAAGTTTCTGTTTGGAAGCTGTGGTTTATTCAGATGCCTGTCATTCCCCTTGGACCGCCTTCAAATTCTCAGGATACAAGCCTCTTGCTCCCTGAGAAAGGTCTCTAAGTCCTCCCTGCATCCAGTGCTCTTCAAGACCCCCGACCCTGACCTAGCCCTGGCTTGGGGAGGCTCTATGTGGAGTAGCAGCCCTGTGCCATCCTGGGTCTTGACAATCTGCATTACTGCAGAACTGCATAACCCAAACTAGATGTCCTTCGGATTATTTTACCTACACATTTTCTCCATGACAAAGGGAGGATAAGGATCAAGGCTCAGGGCTGGGGTTGTGGCTCAGTGGTAGAGCCCTCGTTCCTAGGTAAACATTTTCAATTCAGCTTGGAGAGAGGCCCAAACCAGGATTACTTCCTGAAGGCATTTATAGGCAATCTCACTGGCAAAATGACTTCCCACTGGTGAGCTCCTTCACCCCGCACCATGGGCTGAGGGGCCCCCACTGGGACTGAAGCATCTTCATTGGTTTCTAGGGGTTATGAAGATTTTCATCTAAGTTTTCAAGCCTGAAACAGCTGTTGTACTATTTTTCAGTAGATTGTTGGGATGTTCTCTGCACAGTCCTCCCACAGACGATGAGCGATTTAGCAGGTAATTTATTCCAGACCAGAATGACAAGATGACAACGCGGCTGTTTCCACATCCTTTAACGCACCACGTCCAGGGTTTTAAATGTCTTTTCTGCTGTTGCCTGATAAGAAGTCAAGTGTTTGCTTTACATTCCCAGTTTTGAACACTAAGGAGACCTGAGTGACTGGACACCGCCTGCTGGAGAAATAAGCAGTGACACTCTTGTCACCTTCCAGGTACTGATCTTGGTTTTTTGGCCAAAGCATTTACTTCTTCAGCAGAGCCCCTCTGGCCTGCTGAATTCCAAGTCACTGCTTCTTTTGAGCTCCCTGGCAGAGGACAGTCCCATTCTCTAACACAAGCTCAGGCTCAATGGCCATAACTGTAAGGTGTGTTCCACACAAGAACCTCTTACTTCAAAAGCTTCATGTCAAAATCAGGTGATTGCTAGCCTCACTCAAGGAGTACAGCTAAAACCAACATAAAGTAATCTTCCTTTTGTTTTCTTACTTTTTGTAGTACTAGGGATTGAAAGCAGGGCCTCAGCATGCTAGGCAAGTGCTCTACTGCTGAACTACATCCCCAGCCTTTTTCACTGTTAAGTTTCAGACAGGGTCTGACTAAGCTGTCCAATCTGAGCTCAAACTTGTGATCCTCCTCCCTCAGCCTCCTGAGTGGCTCATTTTTTCTTTTTCTTTTGGTACCAGGGATTGAACCCAGGGGCTCTTATTTACTGAGCCATATCCCCAGCCCTTTTTATTTTTTTATTTTGAGGCAGGGGCTTGCTAAATTGCTGAGACTGACCTCAAACTTGCAATCCTCAGCCTTAGCCCCCTCAGCTGCTGGAATTACAGGTGTGCGCCACCATGGCTGGCTTCATTTATTAACTTTTAAAGGGAGTAAGACAATTTATATGATAATCTGAAGGTGAGAAGCATCATTTTCTCAGATGCCCTGATTAGGCTTCCTGCAGGGTTATTAGCTTATTAGCAAAACACAAGAGACTTTCTGGGGCTCATACAAACACTGGTCAAAATGGGATGCAGCCCTGTCAGAGGCAGGGATGGAAGGCCGTCAGGCCCATGGGGATTCCTCCTCCACCTCAGTGCCCCCAGGACCACAGTCACTCAGATCAACTTCGTGCATGGACTGCAGCATCTTTTACAGCTTGTAAATAATGCTCCCTGGGGCTGGGGATGTGGCTCAAGCGATAGCGCGCTCGCCTGGCGTGTGTGCGGCCCGGGTTCGATCCTCAGCACCACATACAAACAAAGATGTTGTGTCCGCCGATAACTAAAAAATAAATATTAAAATTCTCTCTCTCTCTCTCTAAGAAATTCTTTTAAAAAAAAAAAAAATAATAATGCTCCCTAATTTGCAATATTTTTACCTTAAAATCTCAAATGTCTCACTGGTTTGGATGACACCTAGAGTGACATGGAAAATACAGCCCTCCTGGACAGGGAAGTTCCCATCACAAAGTTCATCCCAGAGCTCAGAATTCGACTCTAGGGAGCTCTCTCGCCTACTCCAAATGAGGCAGGTGCCCTGGTAGGCGGCTGCATGGCCTCCAGGAGACAGGTCCTGCCCAGTAGGGCTCCAAATTGATGCCACCTCAATGGGGCAGTCTGAACTGCAAAGCCTCATGTCTGACCTCTTCCAGTCCTTAAAAGTAAGTACTAGAGGGCTGGGGATGTGGCTCAAGCGGTAGCGCGCTCGCCTGGCATTCGTGCGGCCCCGGGTTCGATCCTCAGCACCACAAACAAAGATGTTGTGTCCGCCGAAAACTAAAAAATAAATATTAAAATTCATTCTCTCTCTCTCTCTTTAAAGTACTAGAAAAGCCACTTTGTATTGCTCAGTCACCATGAAGCAATTTCCCCTCCCCCATAGCTGCAAAAGCTGACCGCCCTTCTGAAATGCAGGTGGGACAGGCCGGAGCTCTACTAACAGTGACAGCCAACTCCCATTTCTCTTACAGCCAAATGTCATATCACTGTGGAGAAGAGACTTCTCCAGATATTTCTTCCAATTCCGAATCAATTTCATTTGATTCAAATCAAAACAGAGGGGCTTAGAAATATGCTTCAGAAATATTAAAATCATATAGTTTTGGCAAAAATCGCATGTGGTTATTAAACCTTTCTTCTGAAGGAGAAGCATAAATGTGGCTCAGACTAAACTATTTTAAAAGTTGATGAAGAGGAGACTCCACCGAAGATGGCCGTACTGCATTGGATGGAAATGAGAAATACGCGAAGTTCAGCTGGCAAAACGCATACCCAGATCGAAAGACTGAGTACATTTCTGTTAGGGAGGCTTAGGAGGGGCCTCCAACAAGCACTGTCTGTGGAGAAGAAAAAGGGGAAGGAAAAAGGGGAGGAGTGGTTTTGCCCAGAACTTTTTTTTTCTTTTAAGTAAAAGCCTTAGGGACTTTACATGGGCCGACTCCTAACATCAAAACAGAATTTTTGCCCTGAAGAACTTGTCATGTAGCAACACATTTACAAAACTGCTGCACAACACCCCCAGAGGGTAGTGAGTGACCTACTCTGCTCCCCAGAGGCCACAGGAAGCAAGGCCTCGGTGCCCCCTGTTCCATGGGGCTGGACAGGCAATGCAGAGGGCAAAGCTCCCTGGGCCTTCTGTGGCCTCAGAGGGAGTGAGACTCCCTCACCCTTTGATCCCGTTAGATGGTCCAGCCCAGGCTCAGCAGTGAGGGAGGCCTCTCCACCAGAGCAGACGGGTGGTGGACACGTGTGAAAACCAAACCCATCAACCCACTAACTGTTCTATCCTGTCATATTTGCTGTTTTATGGCTGCATTTCTTTATTGTGCTGGGGATGGAGGCCCGGGTGTGAGTGTGCTGGGCGAGCGCTCTAGCACTGAGCTACGTCCCTGGCCCTTTTTATTTTATTGTTATTTTTTGGATACAGGAGCTCCCTAAGTTGCCTAGGCTTGCCTCAAACTTGAAATCCTCCTGTCTCTGCCTCTGGAGTGGTGGGATCACAGGCCAGGCTGCTGTGTGCGGGCTGCACTGCTTCTACAGAGAACCTCACATGGTTGACTCCCAAAAGCACCCCCCCCACACACACATACTCACACACAGAATTTTGTCCTGGTTCACAAAGATCACATGACCTCACTGGTGTTTCCCAATGGCTACAATTTATGAAGTAAAGAAATAATAATAATAATAATAAATTCCATTGCTGTGTTTTTTATCGAGCGTGGTGGCCCTGATGGTCGCTCCAGCAGCAGTCCGCCTCTCCGTGTGATTTACTATGAGCCAGAGACTCTGTACTGGCCATAAATATTCAGAACCTGTTTCCATCAAGCCTGCATGAGCCTAGCACTGGTAGAAATAACAGCAAATCAATGCCAACAAAATATTCTGTGTGTAGGACAGTTTTTGAACCTCCTTTTGTTTCTTTTTCCTTTTTTTGGAGAGATAAAGGATGTTGCGACCATGGCTCTAACCAACCTATCAGAAAAGGACTCCAAATATTTATCAGTAAAAACAGCCAGTGTTCATGGTGCCAGGGAGGGGAAAACACCAGCCTTGCTGTCAGAATCCAGTGCAGCAGGAAATAGCACCACTTCAACAATTGTGGAGTGGACAAAGCCTCCCTTTGTCAGTCACAAAAGCCTCAGCACTCTCCCTCTCCAGCTGACTGCATTATAGGACCCATTCATGTCACTGAAAAGTACTTGTTGGCACAGTGCACCTTCTTGATCCAGAGACAACAATCAAAACAGAACTTTTCAGGGTGGTATCTCTTTACACCAGCCATGCTGAAACATTTTCAGATCATTGAAAAATGCAAACTATTATTACCAATGAGGTTCCTTTTTCAGGAGATCTATTTTCCTGTAAAGCACTTTCAATCTGTATCAAAAAGGTAGAATTTTTCTGCAAGAATGTGTCTTTTTGATTCTACTTAGTGCTTAGTTAAATCTATTTTATCTTCCTCTTTTACTTATTTGGATAGAACTTTAGAATGCTCTGAGTCAGGCAATAAGAATCAGTGTTTACTTTTGGGCAGGACCTGTGAACAGCAAGTGGGCTTTTGGACATAAATTTCAAGGTGCTGTGTCTGTCCACTGGGACCCTGTCTGGCATACAATTCTTTCCCCAGAGGTAAGATGGCACCCCAGGAAAACTGCCAGCACTACTTTCTGTCTCTGTGGGTCAAGCCTGGGAAAAAGAATGCAAAACTAATGTCCACAGAAATGCTGAAGGCTAAATGACACAGGCCTACCAGAGGGACACATTTCTTTGAGTGGCAGGGAAGAGCAAAAGCTTTAAGGAGTTTGATGAATTATTAGAATTTTTAAATAAACAGATCTACAATTTTAATTTCACATGTTGGCTACCATCTCCTGTCCTAAGCCAGGGACTAATCCCAACCCACCCCACTCCCATCCCTGATTCTCAAGACCCTTCATGAGACCCTCTCACTTCCCAACAAAACAATACAACTGGCAAAGGAAGCCAGCAAGAACCTGTATCCACACACCAAGACCACCCGCAGCAAGCCAACGCATCACACGGCCAGGCTGGGGCTGACGCATGGCCTAGTGCTGCTCTTGCAGCAGATGGACCTTTCACATCCTGGCAGGGAGCAGGGTGCTCCTGCTGTAGCCAGAGGCTCCACCACATCACAGGACAAGTACACATACTTTCCTCTGGGTACCTTTCAGGACCTCAACAAGGTTACCATGTGTGGAGACAGGACTGAGCAGGGCCGCACTTGCAAAGTTCAGTTGTGGCTGCTCCAAGAGCCCAGGATGATGCCCATTCAGCGCGGTGTGAGGCCCACACAGCGAGAAGAGAGGCTGTTGTGGGCAGGACGTAGCACCGCGGAAAGATCCCCAGCTGGCAGGGCAGAAGCAGGGCTTGATGCTCCAGTTTTCAAGATCGTAATCCCAAGAATCCAGTTCAAAACCTACTGTTGACATGTAGGCCAGAATGCAATTGCTACCATTGTTTCTCTGGGTCTAGGCTGAGGCCATTTGCTCCTGGACTGGTAATTAAAAAAAAGGTTTCTTCCTTAGCATGGAGACGCAGCTTGAAGAGAAGACCGTGAGTCCTGGGAGCGCTATGAAGGTGGCCGAATTCCTCCTGCACCTAGGGAATGACAGTTCCAACTGGGGAATGGAGAGAGGGCAGGGAAATGTACCTAGCCCCTAGCATCAAAAATAAAATGTCAATTAACTATTAGGGTCTCCACACCAGAAACATCCCTAAATCAAAACCCCAAAACCTTGAAAAATTCAATGGTTAAATTCTTTCCAAAAGTCATTTATTTACATATTATATGTCCAGTATATAATGTGTAGATAAATGCAGCCTGCAGTGAAAGTGACCGACCTACTGGACTGAACAGCACATTATAGGACAAATTCTTGAAAAGTTTCATCTCACATTGGTATATTTTAATAAAAAAATTAAAAATCAAAGAAAATGTCTGGCCAGGGCTGGGATGAGACAGGAACACTTCAGAACCCCAAGTGGAGAAAGCTCTTTGCCCCCCTTCAGAGAGTGCCGGGTGTGGAGGGGAGGGACAGGTCATGCACAAAGGTACTTACGATCACACACCCAGCCCCCACCCCCTCAATAAAAAGAAGGAAAAGCCCCATCACTTAACACCAAACAGCAACGTCACCAGCACCCCTGCTCTGCTGCCCATCATGCCACATTGAAAGAGGAGGCCTGTGAGGAGAGGTGAGAAGAGCCGGGGGAGGGGGAGGTCTGCGCTTCAGTCTAGTTTCCACTTTCCATCTCTTACAGGAAGTCTTCAGTCATCTGATGCCTGACATGGAGCTCTGAGCAGAAACCGAGTACGTGGTGGCCACGACCGGGGTGCCGTTGTTGGTGGAGTAGCCTTGCCTCAACGTCTCAAAGTACGACGCCTGCACGGGTTTGTGATACTGAAGCACTTTTATGGCTTCTTCTATTTTAAACCATTCCCTCTTCCTTCCTGTGGAGAGAAATAAGTACAAGAGGGAAGCAACCAGGAGGCTTATGAACCTAGAACTTCTGAGAAAATGAAGAAGAAAACATTAAAGCAATGCTTCTCAACACTTTTGAAATGTGTATTTTATAAAATTTCCCCCTCTTTTCTTTCTTTTTTTTTTTTTTGTACCAGGATTGGACCCAGGGTCGCTTAACCACTGAGCCACATCCTCAGCCCTTGTTTGTATTTTATTTAGAGACAGGGTCTTGCTGAGTTGCTAAGTGCCTTGCTAAATTGCTGAGGCTGGCTTTGAACTTGCGATCCTTCTGCCTCAGCCTCCCGAGTTGCTGGGATTACAGGCATGCGCTGCGGTGCCCAGCTTTATTTTCTTTTCTTACAAAAGAAAAGGAAGCATATTTTATATGCTCCAAATAGTATACAAATGCTTACTGCAGAAAACAGGTACATAATTAAACCTGAGACTAAGAGTGACCATGCCACATGACCTCCAGTGTGCTTCTCTAGGCCCTGGGACTCCCCCTAGCTTGGGTGAAAGGTCCAGTAGTATTTCTACCTTCTGAAAAATTAACATGAGTATCAGCCGGCAGAATACTAGGATTGCTGGCCTATAATCAGTTATTTAATCAAAGACTTAAGTGGTATATCTACTTAATGGGAAATATAAAAGAAGCCAGGCATGGGGGAGCATGCCTCTAATCCCAGCTGCTCAGGGGGCTGAGGTTGGGGGGGCTGTGGTTGGGAGGCTGAGGGGGACTGCAAGTTTGAGAGCAGCCTGAGCAATTTAGTGAGACTGTTTCAAAAAAAGGGAAGGGGTCTGGATGTAGCTCTGTGACAGAGCACCTGCCTGGAGGGTTCGAGGCTCTGGGTCCAATCCATAGCACTAAAAACAAAACAAAACGACAAACAGCAGAACCCAACTCAACACAAGCATTATTATCTTCACAGTCTTTCTTAAATTTTTTTCTTTTGTGGTGCTGGGGACTGAGCCCAGGGCCTTATGCATACTAGGCAAGATACTGTTCTGTGTATGACTTTTAAACTATCAACTGAGGTGGTTAATGGTTGAATCTTTTACCTCTAACGGAAAGTATATTCTGGAAAAGTGTAATATTAGTTTCTGCTATAAACTGGCAGATGGATAAAATTCACCTGCCCAAATCCTTCCCTCTACTGTCAACATGCCTTGTCCCCATGCCCCCTCACCGTTAGTCTGGGTGGTCTGTAGCCCTTCAGTTCTTAATGGCTTTGTATCTCTTAACAGTGCAAGAAACTCATGTCAAAAGGTTCAGTGTGGACTGCTGAAAACTAACTCCTGGACTCCAGTGCTGGGGCCTGAGAACGAGACAGAGGTGAGTGCGCTGCGGCCCCGTCCTCAGCACTCTGTCAGGCAGCAGTTGCACACTTGTGATACTAATTTTTAAGGTGCTCTTGCTCTATTAATGTCCAAAAAAACCCTTTTACACCCACTTATGAGAACTGGTCCTAATGTGAGGGCTGGTCCAAAATGTGAGGAGTAAGTTTGTACTCTTTCCTTTGGATGATCTTAAATGTACATCTCAATGCAGACAAATGAAGGTGCATTTATCTGATGGAATGTTACACAGGTGTTCCCCTGGCTGTGAATCCTAGCAGCAGACCACAGGAAGGTGCTTATGGAATAGTGTTGGTGAAGAGCAGAGCAGGGTGTGAACGCATGTGCGCGGCACACACAAACACACAAACACACTAACTACAGCCACATTAAAATAGGAGGCTGAAATAAAATCTGAAGTGAGATGCAGGGCTTCACCTAAGTAACTGAGAAAGATGAAGAACAGGCAGCAGTGCGTGCTGAGACAGACACTGCAACTGACCCCTATGAGTGACACTGAGGGTTGGAACAGCCTTTCTGGAGAGCAGTTTCAATACACACCATGAACCCTTCAAAGTGTGGATGCTTTACTGAGGTAGTCCTTAGGCTATGGGTCTTTCCCTGGAAGGTTAAAATAGAAAAAAACAAGGCTAAAGATCTTTTTCCTTTTTTTTTTTTTAAATATTTATTTTTTAGTTTTCGGCGGACACAACATCTTTGTTTGTATGTGCTGCTGAGGATTGAACCCGGGCCGCATGCATGCCAGGCGAGCGCGCTACCGCTTGAGCCACTCTTTTTCCTTTTTATTTATTTTCTTGCTACTGGGGATTGAACCCAGGGGCACTTAACCACTGAGCCACATCCTCAGCCTCCTGGGCCACTGGGTTCACAGGTGTGCACCACCACTCCCAGCTCTAAAGATCTTTTTCTAATCATAGCATTATTTATGATAACTAAATTACAGACTGTTGATGGTCAATAATAGAGAATTAGTTAAATGTGATGTCATGCAGCCATTAAATGTCATATTTTTTAAATGATATCTCAGTCTCCCAAGTAGCTGGGGTTACAGGTATGTGCCACTGTGCCCAGCAATTTTTTTCAAATTGATGTTTTAAAATCTTTTATTGTTTTTCTCTTATAAATAAAAGTAATAAAATAGCTGGGAGCAAATCAAAGAAAATGGCTCCCTACAAGGAAGCTGGGTAGTATGAATAAAGCTAAACACTGTCCTCACTACTTTGCATCTATGGAGTGACTCTTTGGGGACAGTTGTATACCACCCAACAGTCTTTTCCAACAATACAAACTTTTTTCCCCCTAACACTGGGAATCCAACCCGGGCCTTTAGCTTGCTGTGTAATCACTCTACCACGGAACTGTATCCTCAGCATAAGTGAGCACCATGAGAAATAAGAAGGTCCTGCTCTCACTTCTGGTCCCCATGGCCAGCAGCAGGCCTCAGTCAGTATCTGCTCAGGAGATACAGATGCATAACCCTTTTGGGGAGGATACAATTTGATTTAAGAAATACCTCTACACTGGGTTCGATCCTCAGCACCACATAAAAATAAAATAAAGATCTTGGGCTGGGGTTGTGGTTCAGCTCGCCTTGCACGTGCGAGACCCTGGGTTCGATCCTCAGCACCATATAAAAATAAATAAGTGAAATAAAGGTATTGTGTCCAACTACAACTAAAAAAAAAATCTTAAAAAAAAAAAAAAAAAAAAAAAAAAGAAATACCTCTAATATGTATGGGCCATGTTTCTACTTGTTGACCCTATACCTGATTTTAGCACGTTTTAATTTTATTTTAAAATTCTGTTTTTTTTTTTCAGCTTGCTTTTAGACAATGCAAAATAATAACTTTCTCAAGTTCAAAATATATGTGCTTATTTTATTAAACACACTCTTTTATGCCAGGCATGGTGGTGCACACCTATAATCCCAGCAAGTAGAGAGGCTGAGGCCAGAGCATCTCAAGTTCAGGTAAGCTTCAGCAATTCTGTGAAGATTCTCAGCAACTTAGCAAGACTGTGTCTCATTAAAAAAAGAAAAGAAAAAGAAAAAAATCACCCTTCTACCATTTATTTTTTTCAACAGGCTCTTTTTTGGTTCTGAGTAATGCCCTAAGGGCAAGTGTCAGTTATGGGGAGCTCTTCCAAGGCAGTCAGGACTTACCAATGTTAACTGAGTCTTCCCAGTCTTCCAGCACTTCTGTGACAACCAGCACATAGACATACGTCCTGTGCTTCCTCTCCTGGTTCTGACAGACAAAAGAGAAGGGTAGAGGGAGAGTTTTTCCTTGGAGAGCGAGATCGCGGAAACACACTCTTATGCACACGTCCAGAGAACTTAGACATAAAGATTCCTTTCACTTTTTCCCATCCTACAATCATGGCCTATTTAAAACAAGTTATACCTGAGTTTTGGTCTATGTTAAGACTTTACACTCACTTTTCCCTCTCTTCCCTTAACTGCAACTTCAAAGGAATGTTGAGACCTCTCAAGAAAAAGGACCATGAGCCAGGCGTGGTACACCCCTGTAATCCCAGCTACTCGGGATGCTGAGCAAGTCTGAGGCCTGCCTCAGCAATTTAGCAAGACTTCGAGGTAGACCCTCAAAATAAAAAAGGAAGAGGGCTGGGGATGTGGCTCAGTGGTTAAGTGCCCCAGGTTCAATACCCAGTACAAAAAAACCCCCAAACAAACAAAAACCATGTAAATGTAACTAAATACAACGCCAGAAAAGAGACTATGGATGGCAGGAACGCCAAAGAGGTCTCAGCTTTGGTGGCCCCATCAGATTGGCTGAGTATGGCAAGCCTCCCCTTTTCCTATGAACTCTGTTCCTCTCTATTCCCATGACATCTCAGGTCCTTCACCTTCTTTCACATACCACAGCCAATTTTCTTGTGTTTCCCTCCTGTATTACAGACACCTAACTCCTATTTTTCTTGTTTTCTCTACACTTATCTCTCCTCCCTCCCACCTTAGGAGAAGAGGAAGAAAGGTAGGTATGGGATAAATAATGCCTAAAATTATTTTAGCTTTTTGGATGAAGACATTAAAGGATTTAAAAAGAAAGAATGGTGCCTGGTTCCGTGGCGCATGCCTGTAATCCCAGCAGCTCAGGAAGCTGAGACAAGAGAATCACAAGTTCAAAGCCAGCCTCAGCAAAAGCAAGGTGCTAAGCAACTCCGTGAGACCCTGTCTCTAAAAGAAATACAAAATAGGGCTGGGGATGTGGCTCAGTGGTTGAGTGCCCTTGAGTTCAATCCCCAGTATCAAAAAAGAAAGAAAGGATGCTATTCTCTGCTGTGCTTTGTTTGAAAATTCAGGAAAGCATAGCTCTTTCCCAGATTAGGAATATGTGGTTATTAATATACCATTTGTACCAAAGAGGTCAAGAGACTTACCTCAAAAATTCCAACTAATCTTCCCAATGTCCCTTTTACTCCAGCCTGAAAAAGGAAAAAGAAAAATTAACACAGACATTTTTACGTTGCTGGTCTCACTGAGTCTTTTTGAGCAGTCTAATAAAAACCAAAAGGACATGCTGGCAGAGACTCCAGGGCTGAGTAGGCTACCCCAAGGTTTCCTACATGTTACATCTAGACTGGTCACACCAGGGTACATTCCGGAGAAGAGGAGTTCCTGTTCCTCTCATCTCTCCTGGTCTCTCTCCCCACTAAATGCTGGCCAAACAAGTAAGATGATTAACCAAGTCAATGAAACTATATAAAAATACAGTGAGGTATTCGCTACTTATTCTTTATGTAACACACATACACTGAATGCCTGAGCTAAGCCAGAGCAGTGTTGTGCCAGAGGTGCACAGAGAACAGGCCGGGCACGACCCTCGAGAGCAAGACCCTCGCTCGGCTGGCTTGTTTGTGGCTCTCTATATACAATATACCAGAAGATAATGCAGGAACCCCCAGGACCTCAGCAAAGCCCAAGCCAACAGACACATAAACATGGTAATCCTAGTGTAGGGTATTGGGCCAGACATGTACTGAGTGATGTGACCAAGAGTGACAGGAAGAGGGACAACCTCAGAGATTATACCTTCCTAAAATATAATTTCCATCTTCCACCAGCCCTTTCAAATTTTAGATTTATGTCTTTCTTCCTCATTCACTCTCTCTCCCTCATCCCCATGCCTTTTTTTAAAATTTAGGATTTTTTAAAATACCTTTGTATTTATTCTTATGTGGTGCTGAGGATCGAATCCAGTGTCTCACATGTGCTAGGCGAGCACTCTACCGCTGAGCCCCAGCCCCAGCCCATCATCCCTATGCCTTTTAACTTCACTTTGATATAGGGTCTAGCCAAGTTGCTAAGGCTGGTCTTGAACTTGTGATTCTCCTATCTCCCTCCTAGGCTAGATTTGTTTCTTTCTGATGCACTGCATGTAGATTTTTTTTTTGGGGGGGGTAATGGGGACTGAACCTAGTTCAGGACAATTTACCACTGAATTAGAACCCCAGTCCTGTGCTGGGGTTGTGGCTCAGTGGTAGAGCACTCGCCTAGCATATATGAAACACTGGGTTCAACCTTCAGCACCACAGAAAAGTAAAATAAAGGTATTGTGTCTATCTACAGCTAAAAAAAAAAAAAAAAAAAAAAGAACCGAAGTCCTTTTTTATTTTTTATTCTGAAACAGGATCTCATTAAGTTGCTGAGGCAGGCCTTGAACTTGCAATCCTCTTGTCTCAGCCTCAGCTGGGATTACAGGTGTATACCACTGTGCCTGGTGACAGGTGAATTTTTCATGAGTATTTTTGAGATAGATAAAAAAACATGTCCCCAGAACAGATGAATTTTTCAGTCTGTTCTAATTCACTAATTTTCTGTTCAACTGTTTTCATTCCAACCTATTTCCATCATGTATACTTTTGTTTCCATGAAGTTACACACATATACTCTCTCTCTTGAGGTGCTAGGAAATTGAACCTAGAGCATCCTAGGCAAGTGTTTATATCTTGCAGTATTGGGGATTGAGCCCAGAGGCACTCTAACACTGAGCTACATCCATAGTACTTTTAATTTTATTTAAAAATATTTGTTTAGTTGTAGATGAATACAATACCTTTATTTTATTTTTCTGTGGTGCTAAGGATCAAACCCAGTGCCCACATGTGCTAAGCAAGTGCTCTGCCACTGAGTCACAACCCCAGCCCAGCACTTTTTATTTTACTGAGATAAGGTGTCACTAAGTTACTGAGGTTGGCCTTGAACTTGTGATCCTCCTGCCTCAGGCTCTGAGTTGCTGGGATTGCAGGAGTGTGCCCCTGTGCTAGGTAAGTGTTTATTCTTTTAAAACGTAAGTTATTCCTTCATTTACTAGTTGAATGTCTTGAATATAAATTTAAGTCACAAGTCATGCTACAAAATCCTCCATCTCTGATTAATTCCTCCTGCACTAGCTGAGGCTGCTTTCCCCACACTCTCCAGGGCCAGATCATGGCACGGTCATCTAGGTGATATGGGGCACTGCAGGGAGAGTCAGGGGTCAGAAGGTGGCATGGCTCTGTCCTTTGCTGGGCAGGGCACCTGTGTTCTCTCTCTGCCTAGGCCCAGGTCTTTCTGAACGTCTCAGCTCCTGGTGTCCTTTCATCCCACATCCCATTTCAGGAGGGGCACTTGGACTCTGCTTACTCCATGTGTTCAACCACGTGCCACCCAAGGCCAGACAGGCTTTGTCTTTTCTTCGCTGTTCTGAAATTCTGTTTGTGATTCATAAGTGTTCACCTTCCTTTTGGATAAGACTATTGTCTTTTTGGCAATGTCTTTTTTTTTTTAATATTTATTTTTTAGCTTTAGGTGGACATAATATCTTTATTTCATTTTTAGGTGGTGCTGAGGATCGAACCCAGTGCCTCACACATGCTAGGCCAGTGCGCTACTACTTGAGCCGTATCCCCAGCCCTGGCAATGTTTTTTTAGCTTTTATGTTTATCTCTATTTTCTGGGAGCAGAAGGGACGAGAGGGAAAGGCGAAGAGCCTCTGGAAGCACCTGGGTAATGCTATAACTTGTTTTCCATTTCTACTGCCACTTTTTTTGGGTAATAAATTAAAAATTAAGACAAAAATACTTTTTCTTTTTTTGGGGGGGCGGTACCGAAGAGTGAACCCAGGGGCGCTTCATTACCGAGTCTCACATCCCAGTCCTTTTGGAGACAGGGTTTCACTAAGTTGCGTGGTGTCTCGCTAAGTTGCTAAGGCTGGCCTTGATCTTGTGATCCTCCTGCCTCAGCCTCCTGAGCTGCTGGGATTACAACTGTGCACCACTGTGCCTGGTACAAAAATACCTTCTAAACACAATACTCAATAAGTTTGTACAGAATGAACAAAATTTTAAATACTCTAAAATTCTTAAGAGATATTTAATAACAAAACAATAAAAATGGATTGAAAGGCCTAAACTGGATGACTTACATTTTGACATTAATTTCTGCTAATTTTGTTCCTCTCTTGCCAACATGCCTGCTTTCTCACTATTTTATATCTGTTCCTTATATCCATGCACCCTGGTGGGTTTTAATCTACCTGAATAAAAACATCTACCTTTCTTTTACTTTAATTGCTTGTCTTACATTTTTAGAAATAATTGTTCTTCAAAGCCAGATAAAACTAGCTTTACCTCAGGAATTAGTCAGTGAGGCTGCCTGAAAGAGGCGGCACAGCTGGCAGGCACTGGACTAGAAAGCCCTTCTCATCACCTCTGGATTCAAGCCACCTGTGCTCTGGCCCCAGGTGTCCAGGGCCTGGGCAGAGAGCTGCTGCCACAGCAGGGGCGGGGGGAGGGGATAGGGGCCGGTGAGGAAAGATGGGTTTATAGAGGCCACCTTCCCCTCTCCCTTCTGGAAAGTGGAATATGTTCGCTGTAGCAGCTGCTGCCCACCTAATTTTTTTTTTTTTATAAAGAAGTAAAAAAATTAGAAAAGGAAACAACGTCCAAATTTTAAGGGCACAATCAAGTTATTATTATGACAACTCAATATATTCAAAACTTTTAATAGTAATTTATGCATTCAACACCAATGATTCTTTGTGTCAGAAGCATTTGGGTGAAATATAAAAGCACCTTTCAGAAGTAAAAATAAGTATATTTTTGTAAAATCTACTGTAAATCAAATAATGTTGCCATCTGTATATGAAAATTTCAGTGGCATTTGTTTACCCTTTACTTTCAACTTGTAGAAACTAATAATAGGTTTTTTATAGGGTGGGGCTCTGAATTGAACCCAGGGCCTCGCACATGCCAGGCAAGTGCTCTACCATGAGGCTACACTCCTAGCCTTCCTTATGACAGTTTTCTTTGTCCTTTAGTCTTTCAGACTTTTAGACTCATACTTAAGGGATTTACTTAGCAGAAATCTATTTAAAGTGATCCTACCACTCAGTCTACAATAAAAAGCAGAGAAATATTCCTACATTTACCGGTTTTCATATTGGGGGATTTGGCAGTTTCCTAAAGGAGAGGTCCCCTTTAGGAAAGAAGATTTCAGGGTCCGGGTTGTGGTTCAGTGATAGAGCGCTTGTCTAGCATGTGTGAGGCACTGGGTTCGATCCCCAGCATCATATGGAAATGAATAAAATAAAGGCATTGTGTCCATCCAGAAATAAAATTTGTATTGTGTGTGTGTGTGTGCATGTGTATGAAAGAAGGTTTCAGAGTAGGAGTGTGGTTCAGAGGAAGGGCTTGTGTCTAGCATGCCTGAACCTCTGGGTCCCCTCCCAGCATGTGGGAGTCAGTGTAGCTATGGCGCTCATCAGGAGCAAGACCCCTTGTGTGCAGGGTCCTCCTAGACAGGGCTCACTTGAATCATTTTACTTTTTCACGATTCTGGACCCTGAGTCCAACTTTTATCTCCTGTTCTTTTTCAAAAGCTGCCATGTGCAACCTGAGAGTGGGTTATTTTTATCTCTCACATGATTCCTACATGCAGGTCAAGATAGGTGTCAGGGTCACGGCTGACAGATATTTGGCTCAGGCATTTGGGGATAAGATTTGATTTAGGGTATGTATAAGTTTGGTCCAGTTAGTCTGCTGGTATGGTCCTGTTTATCTGAAATCATATGAAAGCAGTTAAATTTCAATCTTTATGTTAAAACCCCATAATCCAGAGAAGGGATCTGTATTTAAAAGCTAACAGTGAAAATTCAAAATAATATATTCTATTCGTCATTATTTGATCAAATGGAGGAAGTGCTTTCCCAAACCTCAAACTATAGAGTATGGATTCTAGAATTTTAGATCTAGGTAACAAAAACAATCTCAGCAACTTCCTCCCAAGCTGCTGGGACTATAGGTGTGCGCCACTACACCCAGCCTTTGACAGAGTTTTATACCACCCCTAGGTTCAATCCTCAGTACCAAAAATAAACTCCTGTGTGTTTTTATACTTTTACTACTTAGCTATGTATCCACTATTAACACTATATGGTATATGA